AGAAATTTATTGATGGTAGTAAAATAACTTTTTTGTGGGCACAAGAAAACAAAAGTATTAAAACGAAGCTGTTAAAATTTTCCTCCAATTCGGAATGAATTAGGAATATACTAGAGGTAGTATCAGTAATGGTTCTGGCGAGTTATCCAGATTGTAGTTTTTGCATTAGGCACATCTCCAAAAGTTTAATTCCGTATGTTTTTGTATTATTATTAATTGATTTTAAATAGATCCATTACCCTGTAGTGTATTATTTTTTCCAGAAGCAAATATTTTGATCGTGTTATTATCGTTTTAGTTACGCAAATGCTTCGGAACAATAGTGAGGTGTGGCTTTCGTTTCTGTTTTGTTTGAAAACGAGTCCGGAGCAAACAAATGCATTAGATATCCACTGTTAAATTAAACACGTATTACAAATACATACATACTTATATATACTAATACAGGGTGTCCCAGAACTCAACGTCCTGCTGAAACGGGGTGATAGTGAAACTTCATGTAATTAAAATTAACATACATTCATTGACTGTTAGTATTTTTTTTACTTTTTCGCTGGCGATGTAATCTCATTCTTTGAACAGCTGTAATATCTGTCTTGCCTAAAAATACTTTCCACTTTGATAACTTCAAAGATTTATAGATACTACGAATAATATAGAAATTATTTCAATAAACTTACGTTTAGTACACGGTACAAAGGTTTAGATATCCACTGTTAAATTAAACACGTATTGCAAATACATACATACATACACACCCAAATATATATATATATATATATATACTAATACAGGGTATCCCAGAATTCAACGTCAAGCTGAAACGGGGTGATAGAATTGGACGTAACTGTCTAAATAAAAATAAATCATACGTACTAAAAATCGTACCTTTGTTAGTTTTTTTTGACTCGAAATTTACATTTTTTTAAAGGTAGGCCTCTCAAAGTAGACCGTTTTTAAAAATTTGAGGTTTATTGTTTAACATATTAAATACCAAGAAATATCCCAGAACTCAACGTCAAGCTGACACTGGGTGATAGTGTTGACCATAACTATCCCGAAAAAAGATATAAATTAAATTATACGCACTGAAAATCACTTTTTAAAAAAAAAATTGACTTACGGTCAATATTATCGCCTCGTTTCGGCTTGAAGTTGAGTTCTGGGACATCCTGTATATAAGCTAATTCTTTGATTATTTATGTCTGTCTTAGAAGTATTGCTTGCAATTACGGATTCAAAGTTTAAATGAACATAATTAATAAAAATTACCTAAAAATCGGTCACAATTGCACTCAGTTCTGAGTTGCACATAATTTACAGCTCATAATTTACAAACATGAATTTTTTTTAAAAAAAAATCCTGACCGTTACAGTCTACATTATGACCTCATTGACGTTGAGTTCTGGGACACCCTGTATATAAGCTAATTTTTTTATTTATTATGACTGTCTTAGAAGTTGCAATTACGGATCCAAAGTTTAAATGAACAAAATTAATAAAAATTAACCACAACTACCAAAAATGGTCATAATTGCACCAAAGCCTTAAATTGCACTTAAAAGCTCATAATTTACAAATATAAGATTTAAAAAAAAATCCTGACCGTTACTGTCATCCTGTATTTAAGCTAATATTGACGTTGAGTTCTAGGACACCCTATATATAAACTAATATTTTTAGGTTATAATTTGTGTAAAAATGTTTCTTTACCAAAATACCAAAGTACCAAACCTAGATCTTATTTTTACTTTCGGATAGCTAAAAACCTAATAAATTTCTGTTAAATTGATTTATTCGCTAAATTCCTAATTTACTAGAATATTATATAATTTCAATAATAATAATAATAATTAACAATGATAATAATTATATAATTTTTTAGATGATAAAATATTATTAGATACAGTCAACAGTAAATTTTGGCAGATGAAATTATATACATAACTTGAACTGAATTAAATAATTTCATCTGCCAAAAAATTACTGTTGACTGTACCTTATAATATTTTAGTTTCTGGCACATCTCAGCTGCTTAATAATGCAGACATTAATATTTTATTAATATTATCTAGGCTCATAATTTCGGGTAAATTTAAATTTTAAGTGAATTGACATTTATAGCAAATGACAGTTCAATGTCAAACAATGATAAGTGTTTGTTTTGTAATTTTTGCCATTTATCTCTACAATATTACTATATTCTTATGATCATTTACATCATTAAAAAAATCCTTAACAAACTTCAGAAAGATTTATCAAAATCCGAATAACCGTTTAGGAGAAGTATCAAATCATACATCCGTGGGAAGAATTTTTAGATATAAAACATGATTAAAAATTAACTTTTTTAATTTTATCACAAGCAATTTATGAAATTAAAATAACACCCCCAACCCCAACGTTTCCCATTAAAGCCAATTTAAAACAATACCATATAATTACATCATATCATAAAATTACGCAAAATTCGCATAATAACCATCAAATAATAATTTAATTTCTTAACTTGTCATTATACAAATTAACTCTGAGCATTTCATGGTAAGTCGACTGTCCGCAATTTACATCAAGCGGCATTGACGTCATAATATCCCACTTCCGAAATCGGAATTTCAGGCGAAACTTGTAATCGTGTGGCTGAAGTGTTTAAGCATTTCCGATTAATTTTAATATGACACAAAGAGAAGGAGAAGCCCGTTTATTTATCTCGAAAAACACTCCGACGGACACATTTCGGAATTAATGTTCTATGGAGGGGCATAGGAATATTGAATGTTGTACAAATTAAAGGAATAGTGGGAGAGCTGATAGTAGATATTGAAATTTGTGGTAATAGATAATTTGGTTGGAGTTGTTTTAGTACTTAACTTCACGTAGGGTAGTTATAGTACTGAGCCGAAAATCTAAAATGAAAGTTTTTGCATTTCTCGACGTTTTGAAGGTTTCTGAACATTTTGACATACCTCAGACAAAATGGATGTGTGTATGTATGTGTGTGTGGATACAATATTTCGTTCACACTGATCAACCGATTTGAATGGTTAAAAAAAACATTCGATTCCTATTGATAGGGAGATGTGCTGATTAGTTTTTGGCAAAGGCAGGTCGAGCCGTTACGGAGATACGGAGCAAAGAGTGCAGAAAATACAAATCGAGTTTTTAAGAGAACGGAGTATCGGATTTGATTGATCTAAAAAACATTCAATTTGTAATGATTGGGAGAAGAGGTGATTAGTTTTTGGCAAAGACAGGTCCCGCCATTTCGAAGATACAGAGCTAAATGTGCAAAAAATGGCAGTTTTCGAGTGAACTAAGCGTCCGATTTGAATGATCTAAAAAACTTTCTGCTTGTATTGACAAAACCATTGCTTTTGGGGATAAAAAATTATTACATCTTTTTTTATTTTCCATAAAATATTTTTGTAATTTTGGATTAAAAATTCCAAAGATTACGTAGGCTATGCACAGTCTAAGCGCCACTCTGGTACAAATGTTTACCCAAGTGCGTTTAGACTATTTATGTACTGGAGCACTTTTCCAATTTTGTGAAAACTATTGAAAAATGTGAAAATGCCGCCAAGCTAAGCACAGTATAAGTGAAAATGTCGCACAGAATTTTTTTGCAAATGCGTTTAGACTGTGACTATACGGGAGGACTTTTTCAATTTTGTGTACATTAATAGGCAACTATTTTTTTGAAATTGAATTCGAAATGAAATGACGATTGTTAATGTTCTGGAGATTAATTTATGATTAACATTTGATTTGCTCAGATATAACAAGATAGCAAAAATAATTGATAGTTACAGTATTTGTAATAATATATTTGAAAACGTTTCAAATTTCTCGAATATTTCATTACGGTACGGGAAGTTCCAGCAATTTGCCTTAAGACACGATGCCATACACCACTAGTTATTTCAACAATTTGAAAAAAAGAAGCTTAACAATATAGATATATGTATCTGGTGCAATCAAATAGACCAAATGCACCGATTCTCCCGTATAACAATAAAATGTTATAGCAAGGCCATGTTATAAAGAATTTTCAACACTAAATATTGACAAAAGCCATGTGCTTGCTATGCAGTCAGGCATAGCAACCAGTCTCAAATTGTCAGATAGGAAACCTAGCCTAGAAACCGCACAAATGTCAAACAACGATGTTTGATAACATGTTCTTTCTGACTCAGCTTCATAACATACGAGTGACGTTGCAGTTTGTGTGTTAAACGACTGAATGTACAGCAAATACATCACATTTTGACAGTATTCAGTATGATTCAGTAGCATAATGTATGGAAGTTAGAGCGTAACATGGCCTTGCCATAACATTTTTCTGTTGTGCGGCAGAATCGGTCTCTAAATTTACAAAAGTTAAGCAAAAAAGAAGAATCTCATTAAAGATGAACTCCTCAAAGCCATAAAGACTAACACATAGTTTAAAAGGATAAGGTTTATTTTAAAGGATAAGAATCAAATTTGGACTCGAAACGTATGGATATCTATTGAAAATATTTAAAAAAGCATAATTCTGTTTTCTTTTTATTTTCATTATCTCGATAGATGCCTCTTTAAGCAGTATTGTGTGTGTGTACATTCTGACATCATCAGAGTTTATTTCTAAAATTTCAAATATATTTTCTACTTCATCTTTATTTTTTCCACTAGCTGCCACATTAAATACTCACCACAATGTCCACAATATTTGTCATATCAACAATTCAAACACGTTTTCATTCAGTATGGAATTGTCATTCGACAAGAGTGGACTCTTATTTTGAAAAGTTTTTTGGAATCGAAGGATATACGTATTTTAAAAATTATTTTAAATAATCCTTTAAATAATTTTTAGTTAAATATTTTAATAATACTGTAAAATTAATTTGCTATGGATAATCGAAATAACTCCTTAGTAACGTGGAAAAATCTAATAGTTTTGTGTGTTGTGTATTTTGTGTTTTTGAATGTTGGTCGTTATTTATTCTCTTGAACAGTGGTGTTAATAAATTTTACAAATTTTAATTCCAACTAATTAATGAACTAATTTAAATTGTATTAATTGGATAACTAAATACTGGAGTGTTGTGCTAAAACAAAATTGTATATTGAAGATTTAGATTGTTTGGATTTTGGATACACATAATAAATGTAAGTGGATATTTTTCTTAAGAGCTCAAAGTTCGATATAAACTTTGGCCAGCTTGATATCAAATAGTAGTGAATTTAGTGTCCATCAAATCTGTTTTAAATTTTTAAAATCAGTACAGTCGTTTTTGATGGTCGTACATTATTGGATCTTGGATACACATAATAAATGTAATTGAATATTTTTCTTAAGAGGTTTATAAGCACCAAGTTTGGTACACACTTTGGCCAGCTTGATATCAAGCAGTAGTGATATTAGTGTCTATCAAGTATCTTTTAAATTTTTAAAATCGGTAAAGTCGTTTTTGAGAACACGTTGAGGGTCGTCCATTTGAATCTTGGATACTACACATAATAAATGTTATTGAATATTTTTTTAAAAGGTTTATATGTTACAAATTTCATACACACTTTTGTCACCTTGATATCGAACAGTGGTTACATTAGCAGCCATCAAATCTCCTTTATAAATTTTTAAAATTGGTACAGTTGTTTTTGAGAACACTTGGGATTCGTTCATTAATGGATCTTGGATAAACATAATAAATGTAATTGAATATTTTTTTCTTATAAGATTTACAGGTTTCATATTCCATACACACTTTGGCCACCTTGATATCAAGCAGTAGTGATACTAGTGCTTATCAAATATCTTTCAAATTTTTAAAATCGGTACAGTCGTTTTTGAGAACACGTTTGAGACCATCTATTTGGATCTTACATACACTTAATAAATGTAATTGAATTCAATTGCAATATTAATATTTCTCTTAAAAGTTTTATAAGCTCCAAGTTTGGTACACACTTTGGCCAGCTTGATATCAAGAAGTGATATCAGTGGTCATTAAATTCTTTATAATTTTTACAGAAATCGGTTCAGTCGTTTTTGCAATTGAATATTTTTTCTTAAAAGGTTTATAGGTTCCAAATTCGATACATACTTTAGCCAGCTTGACATCAAGCAGTAGTCATAAGAGTTGCAATCAAATTTCTTTTAAATGGATCTTGTATACACATAATAAATGTAATTGAATATTTTTTCTTAAAAGGTTTTTTGGTTCCAAATTCGATACACACTTTTGGCAGCTTGATATCAAGCAGTAGTGATATTAGTGTCCATCATATTTCTTTATTCATTCAAAGAAAATTTCTTCATTTAAAATCTCTTACATTTTTGAAATCGGTACATCCGTTTTTGTGATCACATTGGGGTCCTTTCAGACAAAAAATCATAAGATGTTAAAAGGGGGAGGGTAAGATAAGTAAGATATCATGTTTATTTATTTTGCACCAGAATTTGCAAAAAAAAAAATCCAAAATTTTTCCAACAATTCCTTTGGCTAGCTTGATATCAAGTAGTGACGAGTCAAGTATTTGACGGGTTTTTAATGTGATGTTGGGTTGGGGGAGGGGGTTAATTTTAAATATCACCAAGAGGGAATGAGGGGTCTTAAATTCCTTAAAAATCGATCACGTGATTAATTGGCTAAAAAAGAATTTTCCTTAAAATATACACACATTTTTTTCAATTTTGCTCACGAACGATTCAGAATGACTTGAAACGTCTAGAATACATAAAAGTAGAAAGTCGGATTTTCTGCCCCAAGAATAAACCTCTTCTTCTAGAAGTTAAAAAACTCAAAATAAATTGTTTTTAAGTAACAAATTCATTTTCAGAAGGTACTATAAATATTATAAGTGTATTTATAAATTTTTGTTCTTTCTTCATTGTTTTGCAATCTATTGTAATAGAATGCAAGAAGAATATATTCTTCTGCATTTTTCAATACAAATGTTTTGTTATGAAGTTTTGTATGAAGATAATTAATTGAAATTTGTTTAGTAGATGACCAGAGCAAATATTTAATCTCGTTTCAATTGTATTTCTAACGAACTAAACTATTCTACAATGTGCTCTCATTTTTTGTTTATATAGCGATTGTGTCATTGTTACGATGTTGGAATAATATATTTTTATACTTTATTTGTGTCGAAGATAGAAAATGATAAATGATCAATGATAAATTGAATATATAATAATAACAAAAATATTTTATTCAAACTCCATCCAACTAATTTTTAATAAGTTTATGAAAAACCTTCGGATTTTTTTTTATAAATAAATCTTGTCAAAATTGATCAGAATTGAAAAGCGTGAAGAACTTGTAGAACTTTATTTCGATAATTTACATTTTTGTGTAATTTAATCAAGAAAAAAATACAAAGTAGTATTGTAAAGATTTCGAGATATTTCTAGGCGGCACATTTTTTGTACATGATACTAAGAATAGAAACACTACTAGGTGTAAGTGGCATTTTGTCTTAAGGCTTAAGGCTAATTATATAAACTTACCAACATGTGCAAATAATCGGTTACATGAATAAATATTTGTCTTGTACATAATCGACATGTCTAACTTTTAAGTCTTCTTTTTTTCTGCCTGTTAAAAGAAGCATCTCTAGTCATTGTTTTAATTAAAATCTTAACCATTATACTATATTTTGATATGCCTATAGGTATATTAAAATAGTATAATGGTTCAGATTATAATTAATATAATGACTAGAGATTCTTCTTTTAAAAATTATTGTTGACAATTTAGATCACGAGTCTTTAGTGCGAAAATCGTCACCTCACCAAAATAAGAATGAGATAGTTAAATATAAACAAAACGAGGCTCCAGTTTCTTATTTCTTTGATTTATATATATATATATATATATATATATATATATATATATATTTCAAAGTAACTAGCAGCCCATTCGTCGAAATAAAAAAGGTATAAAGTGTAAATACTTTTTTTTATACGTTTCGACACAAGATGCGTGTCATCATTCAGCAACTACAACAATTTGAAAATTTTATTACTAATATAAACAACAATATAGAATTAATTGTAGCATAGAGAAACATTATACACACCACAGGACAAAAACACTCAACAAAAATTTATTTTAAAAAATTAAACTTAATAACATATTAGAGATCTCTAATATGTTATTAAGTTTAATTTTTTAAAATAAATTTTTGTTGAGTGTTTTTGTCCTGTGGTGTGTATAATGTTTCTCTATGCTACAATTAATTCTTGAATGATGACACGCATCTTGTGTCGAAACGTATAAAAAAAAGTATTTACACTTTATACCTTTTTTATTTCGACGAATGGGCTGCTAGTTACTTTGAAATATGTTTCAACGTCGAAAAAACTATCAAGATATATATATATATATATAAACACAAAATATAAGTTCTTGGATAGTGTTTCAAATTTTCATTTAAAAGCAAATAAATGTAATTCAAAAAGAGACACGCTTTTGCAACAAATGCATATCGTTTATTTGTGCACATGCAATAAAAAATACACTTTAAAAAATGACATCATATAATAATTTGATCACGTTGTAATATTCATATATCATATCATATATCATACTAATATGCATTCTTTTACATCATGCGTTGATGTTTTATTTAAAACTGCAATATATATTTTTTATTTTCTTATAAATTACAATCTGTCTAAATAGAAAGGCATTGAGTAATAAGTTTACCAAATAACATAGAATTTTAAAAGAAAATCCCAGTGATTCACCTTTTATTAATGTACTAAATGATATCTTAATTAAATTTTGGTAAAACTGCAATATGTTATTGAAATTTTGCACTTTCAATGTTAATGTTTTAATGAAATTCTGTATCTTTTCACTGATGATGGCTAGGACCTTAGCTGAAACCTACAAAATTCAAATATAAATCATGTAAAACATTGTGATTTGTTTTTTTTGTTAAAGTCATTCTAAGAATTCTGAAAGGATTTTTTTACCTGATTAGATTTGAGTAATTCGTTTATTGTTACGTACTGTGAAAACCCAATGATTTTCCTTTTATTTGTGTACTACATTTCTGATTTTGTTCTTTTAATACAATATATAGATTTATAAATACATGTACACTTACACCTACAATTCATCAAAATAAGACAACTTTCGGCAAAAAATCTCTTATAAATGCAACATTCTCGATGTAAAATATTCGAATTAAATTATTTTTTTTTATTTTAATTTTACAGAAGGTTAGACAGAGCGTCTTTAAAGAAAATGTTCATGCTGAATAACACTTAGTTCATGTTGTCTCATTATTTTATAAATTGAACTAATATGTTTTTTTTATATTAGTCATAGCAAAATTACGTAATTTTTTTTTAATTTTACAGAAGGCTAAACAAGGGCGTTTTCTTTTAAAAAAAAGTTTATGCTAAACGACACTTAGTCCATGCTGTCTCATTATCTTATAAATTATAATATGTTTTTTTATATTAGTCATACAGATAATTAAGTTTTTCCATTTTTTTTAACTTTATTATTAACCAGTTGACTGTTACTTTGTTATTACTTGACTTGTTAGTTTGACGAATATACTCGTCATGGAAAAGTGGCAGAATTTTGTGTATTGACGAATATATTCGTCATACAAATAGACAAGTGATATTTAGATTGAAATTATCTAAAAGGAAAAAATTAAACATACTCTCAAATTTCAAGATTTAAACGAAACACTAGGCTTCACTCATTGGAGTGAACTCTAGATAATTTTTTTTTTTTTATTATTATTATTATTATTATTATTTTCTTTCGATTCCTCTCGTTTGTGTCACAATAGCTTATAAATTGTATCTTGATTGCTATTAATAAATAAATAAAAAAAAGAATCAAGATATTTTGACGCAATACCAGTATAAAAAAATAGTTGTCAGTAGCATTTGAATTCTAAATAAAATTTTACTTTGACACAAAAATTTTACTGGTTGAACAACTTTTTGTCTATTATATTATATAATTATTTATAATTTTTTATATTATTAATTTTGTTTGTTTATGTTCTAACCAAGATGTCCTAGTACTTTTCGATATTCTGAAGACGAAACGTTCTCAGTTCCAAAATATCACCAAAAATATTTCAACAAAAATTAGTTTCTTCGTTCAAAGCATGTAACTACATAT